ATACTTGTTGTGCTTGCCAACAAACAGGATATGGAAGGCTGTATGACCGTGGCTGAAGTGCATCATGCGTTAGGTTTAGAAAATCTTAAGAATCGCACATTTCAAATATTCAAAACGTCGGCCACCAAAGGCGAGGGTCTGGATCAGGCAATGGACTGGCTGTCCAATACGCTCCAAGCTCGCAAATAGTCATGTCCCCTGCCGCTCCCGACGTTCCAAATGAGCCTGCCCCCTTGTAAAATTGTCCAAAGTGTCACCCAGAGATAGTTGGAAGATCTATAACGCTTGCGCAAATATCCAAACACATACACACACACACATGCATACATATACACAATTTTGTAATAACTTCTAGTAATATAATTATTAAATTATAGGTTTATAATGTATGTGAAACAATCAACTACCATTCGGGCAGTCCAAACCGCTGCACGCGTCCTTGCTGTGTGCTCAGGTCCATGCGCACCTTCTGCCGCATATAGAAAATGGGACAATCACGATTCGAACAGATGACCTCCTCATGCAGTGAGCCCTGACAACGCTGACACTCGGTCCACAGACGGGAAAAGGTCTCCTCCAAGCCCTGCTTGGCTGCCAGTTCCTTCTGATAGAGTTCACTCATCTTGGGCTCACAGTGTGGGCACAATGCCCTATCCTCGTAGCCTTTGGGCATGAGAGATTTGCAGCCGATACACGAAGCCTTCTTGGTCATAAAGCCTGCCAGTCCGCCCACCTTGGAGGTGACCACAGTGCGTGTGCGCGTGTGCTCGCCCTTAAGCAACACCGATTCCGCCTTGTCCCCCAATATGGGCTCGAAGATGCGCAGCAATGGCTTCGATAGCTGCTGCTCCAAATAATAATTGGCATCGATAGGCACGCTATTCTCCAGCACATAGAGCGGATCCTCTGCCTTTTGATATGCAGGCGTATTTTTGGCTGCTGCACAAATCACATACGGCACTCGATCGCCCAGTTTAGGAGCTGTGCCCGCATCGCGTTTCTTCATCTTAGCTGCCAGCTCCACATGCGCCTGCTTGGCTGCATAATCCGTTTTGGCTAACTCCTTGGTTATGACCAACTGAGATATATCTATGCGATTGCATAGCAGATCCGCAATTACCTGCTTGGCATAGTCCACAGCGCCGTCGGGATCTCGTTCGATGAGCAGCTTCTGCAGGCACGAGTTCATCAGATTGGCCACCAATGGCGAGTTATCCCGACGCACTGTTTCAATGCCCTTGCAATCCATTTTGTCGTATTTGTCCGGCTTGGTGAAGTAGAGACCCGCATAACGTTTCTTGTTGATCAACAGATAGGGATAGTAGACCTTCTCGAATTCCAGCTTGATGGGACGCACAAACTTCGAGCTAACCAAATCGGCAGCCTCCCTGCCCAGCTCCATGCTGCGCTCCAGAGTCTTCACACCAAAGTTGACCATTACGGAATCTGTGTCGCCGTAAATAACAAATGCATCATTCTCATATCCATTGGCGCGTGTATAATGTGACTCTACTTCATTTTTGGTCAGCTCAATCATGGTGCGTCCGTAGGCAGTGACGCTGCCCGAGATTTCCAAGCAGGGTAATTTGCCCACCTGGGCGCCAGTGAAGCCATAAACCGAATTTGCAGAGATTTTCAGCGCCAACTGCCGGCCATCCAGCACTTGACGCTTGAACGGATCCTGTTCCACTTTTAAATCATTCTTGGCGCGCTTACGAGCCGCCAGCAAAGACTCCAGAATCTCTGGCAACAATCCGCGTCTCAATTCGGCTTTCACAAACAAATTATTGGCAGGTGTGCGCTCCACCTGATCATCGGTCAAGCCCAGCTTGTCCTTGGCGCCGGGCAACAGCAGCGTGGTGTAGCACAAATTGTGAGCCATCATTATACTTGGATATAGCGAGGCAAAATCGAGTGTACTAATGGGATCTGCATAGTAGCCCCGCTTCGGCTCTATAACCGTTGCGCCCTCATACTGCTCATCGGAGCCGCTGGACGTATATGATGGCATGATGAAGCCTCGCGTCTTGGCTTTGCGCAACAGCTGACTGAGCACCTTGATTTGCTGGCCACGCGTTAGCAAAGATTCAAGTGGAACACCTGTGACACGCGCCATCTCCATATAGTTAACAATGGCCATAAGCTTGCCGAGCAGCCGCAGCGGCAAATAGGCATCCTTCAAGCAATACATGGCCAAACGGCGGCGCGTCTGCTCATCCCCATTCTGTAGGTCTGTAATAATACTATGATGCACATCCTCCTTTTGCTCCTGCAGGAAATGATAGCTGACAGCGTTCAGCGTATACGAGCGCAATTTGTAATCTCGGAGCAGCACGAAGAACAAGTCAAAGGGCACTCGGCCCTCGAAGTTGACATATTGATTCTCGCGTCGACCCATTTGTTTGGATTGCAAAACCTGCTCCTTGATGACCGAACGGATGTTCTTGATGCGTCCCAAATACTCGAAGTTCTTCACTTTCAAATGGGCAGCGCGGTTCAGTAGATAGGGCACGTCAAAGTTGTTAATGTTATAGCCGGTTAGAATGTCCGGATCCACTTCTCTTACGAAGGCCGCCCACTTGTCCAGCAACTGCGTCTCCTGGGCGAAGCACAGCACCTGGCTGCCTATGATGGGCGCACACTCCTTTAAGGTGAACACATTCCTAATGAAGGGTTCCGTCTCGCCCTGCCGGATGACCATGTTGGCTATCTGTATGACCGGATCCACTTTCGCTTCTGGAAAGATGCCTTTGCGTCCGGCGCATTCAATATCGAAGCTGAGTATGCGCAAAGGCGCCACTTTGGACCACTCGCCTTCTGGCTCATGCGATATAAACTGGTCGTAGGCAACGTCCACTTCTAGCTGGCAACGAGATTCGGGTGCTGGCTTGGAATTTCGTCCGCGTAGCCGCCAAACACCTGGAGGCAGCTCTATCCAATTACAGCCGACAACCTGTGTATCCACCATAAAGCGTATATCGAAATCGATGTTATTCTCGAAGGCACGACAGTCCTGGAAATCGAAGGAGCTCATGATAATTGTCGTCTTGAGCAGCCTTGAGGCGGCAGCAACAAATCGAGGCAGCGTAACGGTAATCTTAATGTAAGTCTGTTTGGCATCGCCCTGATAGCCATGCATATTTTGTCGCTGCACTAGCTCCACGGCCAGTACGGCCTCCTGTACATTGTCCTTGTTGCTGCGCATGTCGGCGATCACCTTCTTACCCAGCGCTTCGTGCAGCTCCGCGCAGTGTCGCTCCTCGAAGTTGCTCGGCGCGACTATATAAAAGTATGGACAGAAGCCATGCACGTGACAGCACACAGAGTTGCCCTCCATAGTGACGCCGAACATACGGACCACCGGCACTGGGCCTAGCTGAGCGCCCGGCATGCCTGGCAGCGGTTGTCCCAAATAGTTCTCCACGTCCAGCTGCTGAAAGATTAGCCTGTCTTCGGCGGGATTCAGCTGAGGAGGAGGCGCACGAGACCAGCGTTCGCTTGTTTGCTGGATCTCAGGGCCCTCGCCCAGCAGCTGTGTTTGATCTAGATCGTCCATTGCCTCAAATGCAGCCAGTTCCGATTCAAATCCGCCGCCCATGTCGTCGTCATCATCATAAGTCCTAAATATTTTATCGCAATTTAGTTTAAGTTTTTAAATGTTTATATTAAGTTTACCTGGGCTTTTTAGAATGTCCATTGGCCATACCATTTCCATTAAATTTGCGCTTGGCATCCATGCTGCCAGTCTTGTATAATATATAAACAATAATCTACAGAATTCGCAATTTGTTGTAAAAGAAAAGAAACGCGGAAACTGCGCGGGATAATCAGGAGATATAACAACTGTTTAATTTACAACAGATTGGCAGCTCTCTTGCTTGTGGTATTTTGAAAGCTTTGTGCATTTCATATTTCAATGTTTATGTAAAATTAATGAGCATTGAATATTGCTCAGTTTATAATTAAAAGGTAATATTAAATTATGGTCAACCTTACAAAATAAGCGAAATAAAAATATTTATATTTTGTTATGCATGCTGTGGTATTTATAATACATCTGATGCAAGTTTCATATGCGCGCAGGATTTTCGTCGTATATATTAACGGTCACACTGATCAGCAGCATATATTTTCGTATGTAAAACGCATTAAAAACTTATAATAGTGTAAATATTTCAGAGTTCAAATGTGTGTCTATGTTTGTTCCTTAGTTGCATAAATGAACAGCGGCTGGCAATAATACGCAGCAAAATGCTCGACCTGTGAAAATCAACTGAATACCTTCATTCACCTGGCGGGGGTGTATATGTGTGTGTGTGTTTGTGGGGGATGTTAAGTGAATCACAATCACAATCACACAATTAAAAAACGCTGCAAAAATGTATCAAAGCGCCTGCAATGCAGCCACAACTGGCTCCTGTGTGCCCGGTGCTGGCAACCAAATGGATACCGATCGTCAGGCGGCATTGATAGCCCAACAGCCACCCACAGCGCCTGTGGAGCCTGACTACAGTGGCTTCGATATCGTTAAGGCCACACAGTATGGTGCGATAGCACGTGTCCGGGAACTGGTCGAATCTGGCTGGGATGTCAATCAGCCTGACAGTGAAACAGTCACGCTACTCCATTGGGCAGCCATTAATAACCGCAGAGATATTATACGATATTTTCTGGAAAAGGGCGCCACTGTGGATGCCGTTGGCGGTGAACTCAACGCTACGCCGCTGCATTGGGCCACACGGCAAGGTCACCTGGGCGCTGTAGTGCTGCTGATGGCGGCAGGCGCAGATCCGCGCATACGCGATGCAGAGGGCTGCTCCTGCATACACATTGCCGCACAGTTTGCACACACCGCCTTGGTGGCCTACTTCATAGCCAAGGGAGTGGATCCCGACTTGCAGGATCGGGGCGGCATGACGGCGCTCATGTGGGCTGCCTGGAAGGTGAGTGAAGATATCGATTAAATCAAATTAAAAGTAAAATAGAATTTTTCACAGCTATCGATAAAACATTAAAGGAATTCTTCACCCATTTTTATTATCCTTGAGCAATATTAATCCTATAAATTAATTAATTTTTAATCCATGTATATATTAAATAATTAAATAATATATAGTATACTTTTGTAAAAATGTTTTTTATTTTTTGTGTAAAGCGAAAAATATGCCAATTTAATTTAATTATTATTGAATATTTATATATTACTTTTTTTATGTATTTGAGTATATACATATTTATTTTTTGATAATTTTGAAAATGTGAATTTACAGCAAAACAGCTGTTGAAAACAGATGCTTCCTTGTTTTTCCATACCTTATCAATGCGCACTGATTACTCTTGCTGAACTGAACGTACTTATAAACATGTTTGTTATCTTGTAATAGGTATGTGCTCTGGATCCTGTGCGGCTGCTGCTCACGCTGGGCGCCAATCCCGCCATGGTTGATTACACACATGGCAATACGGCACTGCATTGGGCAATATTGGCGCGCAATTCCACCGCCATTTCCACGTTGGTGTTGAAGTCGAAAGCTTCGCTGGATGTGCCTAATTTGCGTGCCGAGACGCCGCTTTCGATGCTGGAAGCACAGGCCGGTGCCATCTGGATTGGCGCCAAGGTAATGGATCGGGTCAGAGAGGCAGCATTGACTTCCCAACAGCGACGATCTCTCGTCTCAAAGCTACGCCATGACAAACGCTTGCGCTGGTGGTCAATGGTCGCCTGTCCATTTACTGCCTTCTATCTGGCTGGCATTGTCTTCACCATCAACACGCTGTACATTATCAAGTTTTTCCTGCTGGGCTGCCTGTATGCCATATTCCATACCATTGGCAAAACGCTGTTCGATGAGCATCTGATGGCGCTGCTGCCGCTGTCCGTTTATCTGGCGACCAAGGCCTGGTTCTATGTCACCTGGCTGATGTATATCGATGATGCTGTGTCGCTGGCAACTACTGTGTGCTTCCTTATCAGCTCGCTGGCGCTCTGGGTGTGCTTTCTAAAATCCTGGAAGGGTGATCCCGGCATTATACGACCCACCAGGGAGCAGCGATTTAAGGTATACTAAATCAAATGTTTTGATGATCATATACAGGTATACATATATATATTTCTTATACAGACGATAATTGAGCTTTCGGAACGCGGTGGAATTGGCTTCGAGCCCGCCTCCTTCTGCTCGGGCTGCCTGGTACGGCGTCCCATACGCTCGAAGCACTGCTCCGTGTGCGATCGCTGTGTGGCACGCTTCGATCATCATTGTCCCTGGGTGGGCAACTGCATTGGTCTCAAAAATCACAGCTACTTCATGGGCTTTCTCTGGATGCTATTGATTATGTGCGGCTGGATGCTGTACGGCGGCTCCAAGTTCTATGTGAACGAGTGTAATGTGCACTTTGACGGTAGCTATATTTAAATTATTGCCACTTTAAATATGATACATTAATAGTATATTCTCAATTTCTAGATTTTCTTGCCGCCATGCGAGCCATTGGCAATTGCAATGCCTGGGTGGGCTGGGTCATGGGCAATGCCTTGTTGCACATGTCCTGGGTTATCTTGCTCACCGTTTGCCAGACGTATCAAGTGGTCTGCCTAGGCATGACCACCAATGAGCGCATGAATCGTGGTCGCTATCGTCACTTCCAGGCAAAGGGCGGACAGAGCCCGTTTACACGTGGACCGCTGCTCAATTTAATTGACTTCCTGGAATGCAGTTGCTTTGGCTTGGTGCAGCCGCGACGCATCGATTGGATGAACTACTATGACTACGATGCCCAGGTGCATCAGACAATTGAAAAGGAGCCGCTGCTGCGTGCCGAAGGTGCCGATGCCGATGGACTGATCGGGGATCATCAGTATGTGTAGGACAAATCCTATCGGGATGCGAAGACGCTTCAAATGCCCATTGCGCATGTCTAACAACGATTCGTGTGCTAATAACAAAAAGACAATGCTTTAGATTTATATACATATATATTTATATATATGCCCACCCGATTAGCTTCGTATTATTATGTTTTTAGTGATTTGTAATTGGAACGCGCTGCTGCAAACACAACGATTTAATAACAACAATATATAAAGACAAAAGACAGAAGCGTCGTCGCTGACCGATATCGGATCCAGTAAATGGGGCTTCAATGCCCCCAAACACAAAAACAAACAACTACGTACATTTATTGTGCATGTATTTTACCTGTAATTACTAAACTTTGTACATTTTTTCAGCACATTTCTTAATTTAAATCACACACAAACTCTTTTTTGACTTCACTCTCAAGTATTTGTTATACCAAAAAAAAAAAAAAAAAAAAAAAAAAAAAAAAAAAAAAAAAAAAATGGAAAAAAAAAAAAAAAAAAAAAAAAAAAAAAAAAAAAAAAAAAAAAAAACAAACAA